TGTTCTCTTTAACGGTCAACTAATGAAAATTTGGATGGAATGATATTTTTGTTATATCTTAATAATACAGGTCTACATTTGTTAAAAAATACGATAGAGGGATATGTATATTAGTTAGAAATAATAAAGAGGTATAAAATGATATTAATCCAATAATATATAAAAAAATCCCTTACACTAATTTATACAAAATCATGATTAACCCAAATTCAGAACCAACAATTCATTTCTCAAATACAAAATATTTAATACAAATATTCATTTCTCAAATCCACAGCACAAACAAGTGAACAACCCTCAAGTCTGCCTCTACTCCCGTAAAAAAAAAAAAAAGTCTGCCTCTACTAAAAAAGAAGAGTCGAAGAGGCACCAGCCGGCAGCCAGTGGAAGTAGGCCACGTGTCTTTTTTTTTGCGGGCACCTTTCATTTTTGTCGCCACTTGTTTGCTACAGTTACCAAGAATTGTACCTTTCATTTTTGTCGCCAACAGATCAAGAATGGTGACTAAGATTACATGTGTAAGCAAATAATTAGCAGCAGCAATAACAAGTACATAGTGGTGAGCAGAGCAAGGAGTTAAAGGCAATATCAGATATGGTCTTCAACTATTCTGGGGTTGGACGACTACTTGAGATTTTGGTAAGTGATCCACATTTTTTGTAAAACTGTTTTGAGAACGTTTTTCATGTGCATATCGTTTTATGATGTAGCATGTACTTGTGTAGGTAGTGATGATTATGAAATGTATAAGAATGGTACGCAGTTGCAGAGTATGGAACTATGCCTATTGACACGCTAAAACACAACACCAAACTGCGACCAAGTGTAATCGCAGTCCGGGAATGCAGTAAAGTGGCATGTTCTAATTATCAACCCGGGGTCTAGATCTACTGCCTACTCCGTGAATATCTATTATCTAGCCAACTAAGTCGATTGATTGTGGTTTTAACTAAAAGCAGTAAGAAAGCAGGAAATAGTTCGGTTTTCTAAAGCAAGGGAAGAATCACTCGAGAATGAGTCCCCCTAGCTCCTTAGTTAGGTCACAGTTGTAATTACCCTGGGTTGATTTACTGTTGATTAAACTGCGGAAGATCTGACAGCAGCTTGGAATCTCTTAAGCTGACCAACCCCTCTCAGTCCAACTACCCGGCACATGACTAGTCTTCACCGGGATAGAAAGCGGAGGCAATAAGCACAGAACTCCACTACTGGAATTGGGTTCCAGTACAAAGCAGTAGATTGATTAACTCTCGTATAACCGATCTACCACTACCGAATGATGAAGCTCTAACAACCTAATCAGATTCTATCTATCTCAGGTTGCAGCAGAAATCAATAAAAGATGATCAGACTTCAATTGATTCAATGAATCATGCATCATTCGATTAAAATCAAACAGTATAACAATCCCAAGTCATTACAATCAAGATCCCTAACACATGGAACTAGGGTTCTTCATACCCAAGTGAGAGAGGGTTCTACTCCATAGAGAGAGAGGAAAACAGCAAACAAAGCAGTCATACTCATAACAATGGGAATAATCTGCTCTGGGATTATGATCTTCACTCCAAGGATGATTTCCAAGCTTGATTGATGAAACCCAGCTCCAAAACCACTCTTAGGAGGTGTTCTTCGCACTTTCTCTCTCTAGGGCTCTGTTTTTGCTCCAAAAAGTCGATTCCCTCTTCTTTGGCTAGAATTTGGGTAAAAACCCAGAAATTCCCGACCACACGGCCAGGCCACACGGCCGTGTGGCTTTTTAGGCGTGCACGTGTGAGTCTGCAAAACACCGCATTTCACTTAAGTGGCTTCAGGTATGCTATACGGCCAAACCCACACGGCCGTGTGGATTTTAGGCATGCCCGTGTGAGCTCCCTGGACATTCCACACGGCCACAAGGGGTCCCCTACACGGCCAGTGTGGCTTGCCCGTGCAATTTGGTGCCACACGGCCAGGTCACACGGCCGTGTGGGATTTTAGGCGTGCCCGTGTGAGTCTCATCTCTCGTGTTTTAGGCCGATTTCACGCTAGGTTGTTCTTGTTTATGATATTTCATGTCCTAGTACATGAAGGAAGGTTTGGGCACGAGTTCGGGATCGATTGGACGAAGTTGGGACGTTTGACGAAAAGCTGGAAATTCCACACAGGCTAACCTAAATTCCACACGGGCGTGTGGAACCCCATTGCGCGGGCAAAGCCACACTGGCCGTGTAAGGGCCCTTATGGCCGTGTGGGATTTCCAGTGAGTTCACACAGGCAAGCCTAAATTCCAAACAGCCGTGCAATTCTGGCCGTGTAACATGCCTTTCGTCACTTAAATCAAACGCCGCGTTTTGGAGAGCTACACGGGCACCTGGGGATTCCACACGACAGCGTGGTCATGGAATTCTGGGTTTTAGACCCAATTTCGGGTCTTTGAAGAGGGGGATCGATTTTCCAGAGCAAAAAACAGAGTTCTAGAGAAAAAAAGTGCGAAGAACAAACCCTAGAGGTGATTTTGGAGCTGGGTTTCATCAAGCAAGCTTGAATTTCATCCTTGGAGTGAAGATTATCATCCTAGAGCAGATGCTTCCCATTGTTATGAGTATGACTGCTTTGTATTCTGTTTTCCTCTCTCTCTCTCTCTCTCTCTCTCTCTCTCTCTCTCTCTATGGAGTAGAACTCTCTCTCACTTGGGTATGAAGAACCCTAGTTCCATGTGTTAGGGATCATGTTTGTAATGACTTTTGGATACTATACTGCTTGATTATAATCGATTGAGGCATGTTTTATTGAGTCAATTGAAGCCTGATCAACTTTTCTTGATTTCTGCTGCAACCTGATATAGATGGAATTTGATTAGGTTGTTAGAGTTTCCTCAATCGGTAGTAGTGAATCGATTATACGAGAGTTAGTCGATTCACTACTTTGTACTGGAATTCATTCTAGTAGCGGAGATCTGTGTGAATCGCCTTAGCAGTCTATCCCGACGAAGGCTAGTCGCCTGCCGGGTATTCTGTCTAAGAGGGCTTGGTCAGTTTAAGAGATTCCAAGCTAATATAGGATCTTTCGCAGTTTAATCAACAGTGAATCAACCAAAGGGAATTACAACTTTGACCTAACTAAGAAGCTAGGGGGATTCATTCCCGAGTGACTCTTCCCTTGCTTAAGAACTTCGAAAATTTCCTGCTTTTGTTTACAATCACTCTCACTACACTTAGTCCCGCTAGATAATAGATAATCACGGAGTAGGCAGTACATCTAGACCCCGGGTTGATAAATTGAACTTGCCACTATTCTGCATTTCCATTCTGCGATTGCACTTGGTCCCAGTTTGGTGTTGTGTTTTTGCGTGTCAGCAATCTGGGCGACGGATCGCGCTCTATCAGAACCATACATCCTGGACCAACGCTCACGCCAGATCAGGCTCAACACCACACTCCATGCCAATCTATGAAAACTCGTAGCAACAGATGAACCACTCCAACTAGAAATGCACCACTACAATACTGCTACCTAGTCTCCCACAGTTGGTGGAGCTACAAGCTGCAGAACTTGAATGAGAACACTCCCTGAATAAGCATAGTCAGCAAAAAGATGACGACGAGACTCTAAACCACCAGGACAAAGAAAACAAAGACCAGAGAGCGGTTTTCCACCGGAGATCAGCTTATCCGACAACTTGAGCCTATCATTAATAACAATCCAAAGAATAAAACTATGAAGAGGTACATTGTACTTGCCCAAACAAGACTATACCAGGGCACAACAATACTCCTCTGCCTTAATGAATTACATACTTTTTTCACAGAATAGGTTGCCATTACTTCTCCTTCCCATGCCAAACCATTCCCCAATTGTGAAATAAAAGGCCTCGCTACCACCCAACATCTAAGGATCCGTTTCCAAGTCCAAAAGCCCGCAGCAGAAGCATTAATATCCCAAATCAAAGTTTGCTTGACATGGTAACAACAAATCTAAGCAACCCAGGTCAAACCTTCCTCAACAAGAATCACCAAGAGGTGCCTAAGGACACATGCTTTGTTCCAGATCACAAAATTATGAATCCCAAGCCCTCCTTCATGGTTCAGCCGAGCAAGAAAATTCCAGGAAGTCACAACTCTTGTTCTTAATGATGAAGCACTTATGTCCCACAAGAATTTATTACATATGGACTCCACCTCCTTAATAATAAATTGGGGAAGAAGGAATATACCCATCCAAAACTGCATAACACTTCTCAAAATCAAAGCAATGAGTTGAAGCCTGCCAGCAAAACTTAAAGTCTTTGCCCTCAAGCTGCAAATTTTAGCTGTGATTCTCTCCACAATGACACGACATTCCGCTCGTGTAAGCTTTCCTGTAATGAGTGGGGCACCAAGATAACGAACATGGAGGCTACCTAGGGGAAACCTTGAGTAGGAAGATATGACTTGTTGTTCAGCAATAGAGATCCCCCCATAGAACAACTGACACTTATCAGGGTTACATTTTAGACCAGAGAAAGTATAGAAAGCATTTAATACAAGACAAATTTTGGCTACCCCTCTGATAGAACCATTTTGAAAAACAAGCAAATCGTCAGCAAAACATAGATGTGTAATTGCCAACGACTTACATCTGGGATGGAAAGGAATCTGATCCTGCTGAACAACACTCTTCAACATAGCATCAAGGACTTCCATTGCAACCGTAAACAAATAGGGGGAAAGCGGGTCATCCTGTCTAAGACCCCTTTTCATTTCAAAGAAACCACATAGCCAACACTAACATTTGGAGAACATACACAGGCTCTCAACCACTAATAATTCAGAAACCCCCATTGTGCTAAGAACATAATATATTTTGATAGCACAACGCAGAGAAAAAAGTATGTGGGAAAGTGTGATAAATATATTTTTTATTGGTTATGTTATAGTAGAATAATTTAATTATGTGTTCATATTATTTTCATTAATTATGAATAGTGGATCAAATTTATTAATTGTTACTAATTTGTTCACATTGAAAAAAATTTTATTGATTTAAAATCTTATTCATTTCAACTCGATTTAAAATTTTCTCCATAAAAATTGGACTACCTCTGTCGGACAATATGACATCCATTATATAAATTTCACACTCTGGTGCTGTTTTTACTAGGAATGTAACACATTTTTTCATCTCACGTAATAATTTTCTGTATCGCATAAAACAATGTTATACATGACGTAAAAAAAATCGCTCCAATGCTCAATTAACTGGCCATGCAAGTAAAAACATCAAAACTAAGTGGGCAACTACTAAAACCTTCTTGAATAAGAATGCTAATTTCCCTCTCCCTATTCAGTTGTAATGAATTTTTTTACAGGATACCTGTATACTGCTTTTATTGATCAGACATGACGGTTACATTATCCAGCTAAACCTGATCAACCAAATAGATTTGGGGCCTATCTACCTAAACAACTCTTTCATTTCTTCTCGTCTTCTCAAAACGCTTGCCAGAGAGTTTTTCCTCAAGTTGTATACCGACGACTGTGCTGTCCAGCCGAGCATCCCAGCCTTCTTCAATGAAATTGGTGAAGCAGAAGCTGCCCGCCTTGCTGCCGCTCCGTCCCTTCGCATGCGCCATTATATGAGCGACATTGTTCGCTTCTCTACATATATGTCGCCAACTGCTATTCCCCATCAAAGACATGTAGCGTTCAATGCTATGACACACCACTCCTATCTCATCTTGGGCCAAGTTCGGACTTTGTAATCTTGTTATTACCGAGAGGCAATCTGTTTCCATCATCACATTTTGGAGTTGGAATAGGTACGCCACCTGCACTCCCATCTCCAATGCGAGAGCTTCTGCCCCTTCACTTGTCCACGTCCCTGGTATATTTTTTGCAGCTGCATACATAAATATCCCCTCAGCATCTCCAACCACAACTACAAGTCTTGTATCCCCAGAAGGAAGGATGTCAGCGTTTGTGCAGACAGAAACTCTACCCATCGTTGGTTTCTGCCAGTTCTTCCTCACGACTAGGCTCGACAAAACTTCCTCTCTCTGCTGATGCTGCTTGTAATCGATCAGAAAATACTTTGCACGCACTGGTATCTCCTCTTCGACCAGTTTTGCTCCATTAAACATATGAGCATTCCTTCCCTCAATTCTCGTGGCTTACTTCGTCACCAAGTGCAGCCACTTATTTAAACCAATGAAAACAAGAACTCGTCCCACATCGAGCAAAACAGTTCGCAACCTCCGATTTACTCCAAATCCTCGAAGCCCATTCACATTTCGAGAATAAATGGACATGGATTTCTACCTGGTCGCAAAAAAAGGCACATCTCCCCAACGAGGATTGAGCTGACTTACAAGTGCCCTTGTCGGAAGAATCCCCCTAGCTAACCTCCATATGAATTGCCTCACTTTTGGAGGGATCTGCAAGCTCCAAAGATGCTTCCAAACTGGTCCTTCCCCAAAATCAGCCACCCCAAGTTGTTCTTTAAACCCACGTAGCCATTCCCTATATCTCTACTTAGCCAAATAAATCCCTTCCTTGTCATTGTGCCAAATGAGAGTATCCATTTCCCCAGTTCCGCGTAACGGAATCTGCAAGATAGCCTCCCACATATCACTTGTGAAACAACTCTCTATTAGTGAAGTATGCAATTCGTTCGTTTTCGGGTGCATTAGCTCACGCACGTATGCATCCACTAGAAGTCCACTGGAGCCGTAGGGACATCCTGACCAGGTAATGGTCACCCCAAATACAAACGTCTACTCCATTCCCAATCCGCCACAGGATGCCTTGGTTAACCATCTTCTGCGCACTTAAGATGTTGTGCCAAACAAAACTCAGCCTGTAGTCCACTGAGGCATCTAGAATCGACGTGCGCTTGTCGTATTTTGTCTTGAAGATTTTCCCAATGAGCGATTAAGGTAGTTTAACAAGATTCCATATCTACTTGCTAAGTAGTGCAACAATGAATCCCCGTAAATCCCTGAATCCCATCCTCTATCCTCCTTTGAACTCGCCATCTCCTCCCTTCTCAGCTCTTCTCCTTCCAAACTCTCCTGCACTATGGACCTGGCGAAAAAGATACTATCGTCAACTTGTCGTAATTAGTCTCTTTCTCGTAATTAGTCTGTATCTTTTCCACCCGCTTTATCTGTAGGACCCCCTATGTCCAATCTCCTCCCACTGCCTGAATCCTGTGAATTCTCTTCTCTCGGACCGCCAACGTAGTGTAGGAAGAGAGACCCTATGCACAAATAAGAAACAGATATAGGGATAGAGGGTCTACTTGTCGAAGACCAAGACCTGGGATAAACGGTGGAGATTGATGACCATTCACAAGTAACAAGTAAGACACCGTGCTAACACAGAGGATGACCAAAGATTTCCATCTCTCATCGAAACCCATTCGCCTCATGACACCTGCTAGAAATGGCCACTCCACCTGATAACATCGTATGTGCACATGTTTGCACCCTCGTTTCTTGATCATTTTGGCTTGAGTTTTTGCTTTCTTGGACTATTTTACGCTAGGTTGTGTTCCTTTGTCACATTTCAGGTCCTAGCATGTAAATTGAAGCATAGGCGCAAGTTTCAAGTCAATCGGAGATCATTTGACAATTCAGGAGAAGAAACACGAGCATGACCTGAGGAATAATGGACTTCTACCTCATATTAAGGACAAATAATCTTGGAATTTTGTTATGAAAAGAAAGAGGACGAAACTACGAGCGTCTGGGATCAAATAGTGACTTATTCGGAGTCCGGACGAGGGAGAAACGAAGCATTAAACAGGGGCGGAGGAAGAATTACGGGCAGCCCCTGCCCAATTACGGCCGTAATTGCTCCTGGCATGCCCGTAAATGCAATGTCGAGCCTAATTCTTCAGAATTCCTATCGCAAAGACATTTACGGGCAAGAATCAAAGTGATTACGATCGTAATTCCATAATTACTGGCAGTAATTGGATAATTACGACCGTAAATCCTTTCTTCTGAGATAAGTGAAACGCGCGTTTTGGGCAATTACGGGCAGACCATGATTACGACCGTAATTCAGCCTGTAATTCGCCCAGAATCGGGTTTTTGAGGCAGATTCGGGCCAAAGGAGGGGGAGTCAACTTTTTGGAGCAAAAACAGAGTTTTAGAGAGAGAAAGTGCGAAGAAAAAACCCTATGAGCTATTTGGAGTGGATTTCTCACCATTGAAGCCCAGATTGCATCCCGAGGAGTGAAGATCATCATCCCAGAGCAGATTATCCTCATCTTTATGAGTATGACTACTCTGATTTCTGTTTTCCTCTCTTTCTCTATGGAGTAGAACTTTCTCTCACTTGGGTATGAAGAACCCTAGTTCCATGTGTTAGGAATCTTGATTGTAATTACGTTTGGATTGTGATATTGCTTGATTATAATCGATTGAAGTGTTTTGATTGAATCAATTGAAGTCTGATAATCTTTTCTTGATTTCTGCTGCAACCTGAGATAGATAGAATCTGATTAGGTTGTTAGAGCTTCATCATTCGGTAGTGGTAGATTGGTTATACGAGAGCTAATCAATCTACTGTTTTGTACTGGAACCCAATTCCAGTAGTGGAGTTCTGTGCTTTTTGCCTCAGTTTTCTATCCCGGTGAAGACTAGTCGTCTGCCGGATAGTTGGACTGAGAGGGCTTGGTCAGTTTAAGAGATTCAAAGCTACTGTCGGATCTTCCGCAGTTTAATCAATAGTAAATCAACCCAGGGTAATTACAAGTGAGACCTAACTAAGGAGCTAGGGTGACTCATTCCCGAGTGACTCTTCCTTTGCTTTAGAAAACCGAATCAATTCTTGCTTTCTTACTGCTTTTAGTTAAGACCACAACCAATCGACTTAGTTTGCTAGATAACAAATATACACGGGTAGGCAGTAGATCTAGACCTCGGGTTGATAATTAGAACTTGCCACTTTACTGAGCTCCCGGACTGCGATTACACTTGGTCGCAGTTTGTTGTTGTGTTTTAGCGTGTCAAGTTTTCGGCGCCGTTGCCGGGGAACCTCTAGGTTATTAGGGAAACGTGAAAGTTTGTTACTCTAGCTTTTTCTTTACTGTATTTTCTCTCTTCCACCTGTGTGCCTTGACGGGTTGCTTTTGCTGATTGTGTGCAGGTAGTGCATGACCCGTAGCCAGTCGGGGGATTTACTACCATTAGATCAAGAGCTTGAACGAACTCGTAGGAACTTCAAGCGAGCGTTAAAGGAGCGACTGGCTGAGGAGGAAGCTCTTGCACAGCTGCAAATCGCTGAGGAGGAAGAGATGGGTGACCCACATGACCATGATGTGGTCCTTCCCGAAGAGAAAACCATGGGCTACTACTGGACCGCCCGCGCCGCAGACATGAGGTCTCCCATCCAACACTCTCAAGTTGTTGCCAACAACTTTGAGGTGAGTACCTCTAACATCACCATGCTGCGCGGCTCAGTGGTGTTCCGTGGCAAGGAGGGGGAGTGCCTCGATTACACCTGAGGCGATTCCACGAGCTCATCGATGGGATCAAGATAAATGGGGTCCCAGCCGATGCCATCCAGCTGAGGTACTTCCCATTTACTCTGGAGGGGCAAGCCAAGGAGTGGCTGGACACTAGGCCTCCTGGATCAATCACCACGTTCGCCAACCTGGCGGACAAGTTCCTCACCCGCTATCATCCTCCATAAAAAACGGCGGACTTGCAGAAGCAGATCACCCACTTTATCCAGGATGAAGATGAGACCATCCCGGACGCATGAGAGAGATACAACAGTCTCTTCCTGAGGTGTCCCAATCATGGTTTCAATGATGCTTTCAAGGTGGGCACCTTCTACCACGCCCTCTTCCCAGAAGACAAGCAGCTGATTGACTCGGTTTGTGGCGGGATTATGCTGACCAAGACACTTCCATAGTTGAATCAGCTCTTTGAGGAGATGTCAAAGAAAGGGTATGATTGGGGCACTGCTAGGAGGTCGAGGTGAGCACCAAGCCGAGGTGTACATGCTGTGGGCACCCACTCTTCTGATTTGGTGCAGGTTGTGTCTAAACTGGTCTCAGCCATCGATCGGAATGGGATGGTTCCGGGGACAGTGCAGCAGTCGGCAATGTGTTGCCAGTGGTGCGAGAGAGCCCATCATACTGTAGAGGACTGCCATGCCATGCGGGAGTCCAGTACACCCCCGGAGCAGGTGAACTTCATCAACAATGTCCGGCGCAACGACCCATACAGTAACACCTACAATGAGGGATGGCGCCAGCATCCAAATTTCTCCTGGAGTGGCAACAGCAATCCGAAGCCACCTGGCTTCCAAGCTCCTGCAACTAGTTAATAGAACCATAGGCAGCCATACCAGCCTCGCCCAGGCCAGATGCAGCATCATCAACCACTTTATCAGCCCAGACAGGGGCAGACTTTTCAACAGCCCCCAGAGCAGCAGTACCAGCAGCCTGGTGTATCTCCATCAGTCCCAGCACCGGGCGATCCCGTGTCAGAACTGAGGGATCTAGTGACTACCTTGGCGAGCACTAGTACCCAAAAGTTCAATAAATTGGAGCAATTCATGGAAGTGGCTGCAGGCAAATTCATGGAGATTGAAGCTGGCCAGAGAAACCAGCAGGCACTCTTGCAGGATATGGACACCAAGATCGGGCACCTGGCAGATGCCCTTGCTTCCAAACCGGCTGGCACACTTCCTGGCCAACCCTTGCCGAATCCCAGAAATCATAAGGAGGGGCTGCACGCCATTATGCTGAGAAGTGGGACTGTGACTGCGGATGCACCGCAGAAGAGTGCCAAGAAGGTGACCCATATCACCCCTGAGCCGGAAGAAGACCTGGTGATGGTAAAGGAGCCAGAGGATCAAACTCCAAAGCCACAACCAATAGTGGCTGAATATAAGCCTAAGCTCCCTTTTCCCACCAGGATTCACAAAGACAGGCTAGAGGCAGAGTTCGGCAACTCCTCGTCCATGCTTAGGAAGCTGCATGTTCAAGTGCCCTTCATGGAGGCACTATCTCAGATGCCTAAGTATGCAAAGTTCCTAAAGTAGCTTCTCTCGAAGAAGCGGAGGCTGAGTGAGCTAGCCACTATGGAGCTCAGCGAGGAGTGCTCGGCCATTCTGCAGAACAAGCTTCCGCAGAAGCGAAAGGACCCAAGTAGTTTTACTATCCCGTGCTCTATAGGTAAATTGCATGCAGAGAGGTCCTTGGCGGATCTAGGTGCTAGTATTAATGTGATACCATATAAATTGTTTAAGAAACTAGGCCTAGGTGAACCCAGGGCAACTAGGATGAGTATTCAACTAGCTGAATGATCTATAGTTCATCCTAGGGGCATAGTGGAAGACCTTCTGGTTAAGGTTGGCAGATTCTTTTATCCTCTGGATTTTGTTGTCTTGGACATCAATGAAAACACAGAAGTGCCCCTTATACTAGGAAGGCCATTCCTAGCCACCGCCAATGCTATAGGTGTCAAAACATAGCCCGACCCGATTAACCCGCCCGATCAACCCGACCCGCAACCCGACCGCAACCCGAATTGACTAAAAGTCAACAACCTGTAACCCGCCCGACCCGCAACCCAACTAACCCGCAAGCCGACTAACCCGCAACCCGATTAACCCGAACCTGATTGACCTGCAACCCAACTGACCTGCAACCCGATTAACCCGAACCCGATTGACCCAAACCCGACTAACCCGTAACCCGACCGACTCAACCCGAATTTCATCTAATCCACTTGAATAATTATAAAAATATACAATATATAGTTTTTCAAAAATAAAGTTTTTCAATCTAAACTTAAGTAAAATTATTTTTTCATTTCGTATAAGAAATTTTAAAAATATGAAACTCACTTGATATTACGTATTTTAAGAAAATTACAAAAATTGAAACATGAAGGTCACTTGAGATCATGACAATATTAATATAATATATAAATTAAAATTTTGGTTAATTTAACTATTCAATAAAATTATCAATTAAATATAAATAAAACAAAGTAATGTATTTGGTAATTTGATGTTTTTAAAAGAAGAGGGAAATTTTGGTCTATTCAAGTTTTTGGGAAGAGAAAGAAGAGGGAAATTTGGTTCTTTGAATTTTTTAGAAAAGAAACAAGTGGGAATTTTGGTGGTTTTGATATGTGGGAAGAGAAAGAAGTGGGAAAGTTTGATTCTTTTGATTATGAAAGAGAAATTAGGAGGGAAACTTTTGACTTTTCAACTTTTTGTAGAAGGAAAGAAGAGGGTAATTTCAAATTTGGTTCTTTCAATTTTATGGAAGAGAAAGAGGAGAGAAAATTGAGTTTTTCTAATGTGTGGAAGGAGAAAGAAAGAGGGAAATTTTAGTATTTTTGTGAAAAGAAAGAAGGAAACAAATTTGGTGTTTTCAATTTTTTGGTTTTTCATAATTTTAGCTTTTGAAATATGAATCTTTAACTTTTATATGGAGGGCATGACTAGTTAAAATTATTCTTATATGCTTTGAAGGCTAATATATGTATGTAAATCTTTATGGGCTAATAAATAAATTAACCATTAGTTACAACAATTTATACTAAATTTGATAAGTAATCTTCGACGGTTCGTTGTTTAGGATATAAAGTATATGGTTAGGGTATAAGGTATAAGATACATATGGTTTAGGGTGTATATGGTTAGAGTATAAGATATTGATGGTTTTGACGGTTCTAAGTTTTTTATTAACATATGTTCACTTGAAGTCATTTGAAGTCTTTAACGGCAGGAGATCCCTTTTTAATTTATGTTTATGGTACGTGGTTAGGGTACAAGGTATGTGGTGTAAAGTATAGGATATATGGTTAGGGTATAACAATTAGCAAATATCGCTTTTTATCTATGTTTTGAAAATCAAAATATGAATTTCACTTTTAAATTAACTATACTAGCAAAATCACAACTCAAGGACATATGATTAGGGTATAGGTTATGTGGTTAGTGTATAATGTATTGATGGTTTAGGGTATACAATCAACAACATATACTAACTTAATATTGTTGGTTGAGGGTAAAGCTAAGTGTATAGGATATATGCTATTGTGTAAGTTATGATTGAAGTCACAATAATTTTACTAAATTTGATAGCTAATCTTTAATGGTTCAATTTTTAGGAAAATTCGAACAATTTTACAAATAACTCGTTTGGCAACAGTTTACTAAAGTTATTTGGGAAATGAGTTATTTTGAAATAACTCCTTCTATCACTATGCTTTTGCCAAATACCACACGCCAAATACCAGATTTGCATGGCTATACTAAACGAGATATTTTAATCCAATTACTACTGAATTAATACTAAAATATCAAATAAATAATTAACGGTGTCTTTTGGTTGCAAATATTGATATCACCATTACTATTAGCTATAATACTTTGCCAATTATGATTAATTACATAACAAGTTTGCAAGTCATACAAATTGATTTAACATTTTGACTAGTTTTTTTCAAAAAAATAAAGTATATATATACGAGGTAGAAATAAATTGGTTAAAAAATTGAGAAAATATTTTAAATTAGTGTAATAAAATGTGTAAGTTGGTAATGAATAAGAGCATCTCCAACGGGATTGCACATTGGAATTGCACTTTGATGTGGCAGAGGGATGCAATTGCTTTTTTCCATTGCACCGTTGAAAGTTGTGATTGCAAAAATGGTATCTTTCATTTTTTGCAATTCACCATTGCAAGCCACACTGGAAATGCATAACATTTTTTTCCTCTTTTTTAGTTCACACTGCCAACGTGTAGCTTTGTGTGGCATAGTCCTAATTTTTATTGAAAATTTTTGGATAATTTTCATGAACAATGTGTGTAAATTAGTTTATTACTGTACCAATGGGAGTAAATAGCATCCTATAATAATTTTATTAACTATAATAAAATATACATAATAATATAAATATAAAAATTTATTTTTTATAACTTTAATTTCATATATACAAATAACGAAGTTATTATATTGCTTTTTTAAAATATTAACTTATTATTTTATTTAATGTTCATTGTCATAGTACACTCCAAATTTAAAATGCATAAGAATTAAACTACAAAATATAATAAGAAATGCTATATCCAAACAAAAAAAAAATATCAAAATAATGAATATAAATCACTTGTCTTCGAGTAGCTGGTTAATTTTCCTTTCATATAATCTCCTTTGTGCTACAGTCGTCATTGATAAATCCAATTTCATTTAAAATTTTAGATATAAGGTTTGACTTTATTTTTGTGTCCTATTTGAATATTGTGCTAGTAATAAAAAATTATTGAGTAATTATTGAGTAGTAGATTTTTTATATTCCATTCTCAAGACCAAAATGTCTACATAAATTAGTAATAAAAAATTTATGCATTAATTGTATATATTTCATTTAAATTAAATTAATATTTTATTTACTTGCCACATGGATAAAAAGGTATTTAAAAATGTTTTTTTATGCATGACAAAAAAATTTAGGCCTCATATGCAATTGCAAGTGAATTGCACCAATGTAGGTACAATGAAAGTCAAATGAGTTAGCTTGCAAAAATAGTGTTGTGTAAAAAAATTTAAAAATGCAATTACAAATGCAATTGCACCAATGGAGATGCTCTAATGATTTAAGTTACTTGATGCGCTGGCCCGAACAACCCGAAATCCGACCCACCCGCAACCCGCCTGACCCAAAACCCGATGAACCCGCAACCCGCCCGACCCAAAACCCGATGAACCCGCAACCCGATTGAATCCGAACCCGATGAACCCGCAACCCGACTAACCCGCAACTCGTTTGAACCCGAACCCGATGAACCCGCAACCCGACTAACCCGCAACCCGTTTGAACCCGAACCCGATTGAACCCAGCCCGAACCCGCCCGAACCCGCCCGATTGACACCTATAGCCAAGGCTCTCATAGATGTGCATGATGGACCTTAGTCTTGAGGGATGGCGAGGAGAAAATAACATTTTCCATTGCTAATACTCTCCCTGCTTCATCACCTTTGCATGTTGTTTCTCACCAGGAGCACGAGTCTGTCGTGTATCCTTCTGTGCTTCCCATTTTGCAGGATCCCTCTCACATATCTTCGCCGCCACTCCCGTCCACTCCGTTACCAAAAGATAAGATCAAGGAGGAGTGGCGGCCGAAACTACAGGTAGCCAAGCCTGCTCAAAAGAAAGCCGGTGACCACTATGAGCTGGTCGGCCTCCTGAGCCTCGACCGCCTTGGCCATCCGAGTATTCACTCGCTTGCATCCTGCCGGATGGCCAGGTTGAGTTGACGAGTGCTGGTGGTCACACTCATCGAGTGCATGGCCATCACCTGAAGTTGTACCTCAAGAGCGATGTGGATCCTCTCTTGAAGGCACCTGTTCCTTCACCTCTCTAAGCATCCACCCTACTGGCGTCCAACTAAACGACGGTAAAGAAGCGCTTGTGGGGAGGCAACCCCACCAAGGTTTGTTTTTCTTTCGTTCGTTTTTCGGTTTATCCACTTGGAACTATGATTTTTATCACCCAGTGTGTTTTGATGACTCTAGCCCTGCTGACTGGTCCCATTTCCAGTCCTCTGACAGTCCATATTCCCGGTAACATCGTTTCCCCTTGTCTTTCCCTCTGCTCCATTGAGGGCAATATCGTGCTTAAGTGTGTGTCTGTGAGGGGGGGGGGGTGTTTATCTACTGTTGACTGCTAGATGAGTCTGTGTGCTTGGAGCCTAGTCCGCTGTCCAAATCTCGAGATTTGAGGGCTCCAAGTACAGATGTTTGCATGATCATATTGGCACTGTGGGTTTAATTGGTGAATCAAATGGCTTTCGAATTAATGCATGACAACTGGATTGTGACTAGGACGACCTATAATGATGACTGAAACGTGCAGTAGAATTGTGTAGGAGTTCAGTTTTTTAACTGTTTGCTTACCAATTGTGACTTGGATTTATCACTTGTTCTTGACAGTCGTTTATGCATCTAGTTCAGGGAATCAGAATGAGAGATAGAGCATATAGGTAGCCATGCAAGATTTGAGCCTGCTCGTTTCTTTCTTGTGCGATAGATCCCTCTTCCATGATGTGCATCATTCACGTTGTCATTAGCTAAGATGATGGACGCATAGGAATAGCCCACGACCAAATTGACTGTCGTGGGGTGTCATACCCCCTAGTCAGCCCCTTTGAGCCGTGTCACTTTCTTTCTTTTGGTTTATAATGGAAAATCACCCTTTTACATCTCTTAGAAGGTTCCACGGAGTGGTTTTTGCATGTTCTCTGCTGTTTCTGCTAAAAATAATGTGAGGGTTGGAGGTAGTTCTTAAAAAAGTTGGGCATGTGTTTGAAAAATGTGCAGAGGTGGTGGTTCTCTCAAGAAATGAAAAAAAAAGAAGAAAAAATGGATGAAAGCTAAAGAGAGCCACTACCAAAAAT